TAAAAACGTTGCTTTGGGTCCTATTCGCTGCTGCCAACTGGAACAGCTCGTTGCCCTCCTCCAAATGACAGCCTGTCAAATATTTAAAGAGAGCAATCATGTCCTCCCTCAATTTCCTCTTCTCCGAACTAAACGTCCCCAAGGCCCTTAGCCTTTCCTCGTAGGGCTCAGTCTCCAGACCCCGGAGACGTGAAGGACCTCAGCGCGAGACCCTGGAGAGCCGCTGCTAGTCCGAGTAGACAATACTGACTTTGATGGGCCAAGGGTCCGATTCAGTATAAGACAGCTTCGTATGTGTGTTCATGAGAATACAGTCTTGGATTAAATCTGAGCAAAACTCACTTTTTGGTAAAATTATAATACCAAGGTAGACACTTTTCAGCACAGTCACAGTGATAAAATAAATTCAGGTGGATGGCCGGCCGGCCGTGGTGTTCTGAAGCGGCAGAACAAAGTTTGAGTCCAGTGGCACCTTTAAGACCAACAAGGTTTTATTCAAGATATCAGCTTTCATGTGCAAGGCACACTTCTCCAGATGAAATACATTACCCCATTGGTTCTCTGCTCCTGCTGTGTGTAATGACAGGGATACATCTTGGTACGCGTGCGTGCTGCACTCTGAAAAGGCTGACAAACCTCAGCGTTAATAAAGATACTCTTTGCGCTCATCTGGAAAATCACTCCCTTGGGGAGGTCGTGGATGCTGATCCTACTATGAAGCATCAGTTTGGAAAAGAAGGCTTAGCTGGGAATGTGGCACCATCTACTGGCAAACACACTTTAAACTTCAGCCTCCAAATCTGCAATAAGCATTCATTCAGAGAGCAGTCTGACTAAAGTTGGTGGCCAAGGCCGCCTATAGAAATGTCCCCCTCAATTATATATATGCATCCCACCCATTGTATAAGTTTGCACACTAGAATTTGGGGGAATGTATTTATTAACGCCACAGATAAGCAAACAAAAAAGAAGTTTATAGAAGTTTTTTCTTATTTTAAGAAAAGTAAAAGATACTAACATCCAGACAATGAGGCATGCACCAGCAGAGTGGGTTTTAGACTAAAGTACACATGCCATCTGGAGATTATGCAGTTAGAATTAACTGATTAGTTAATTCTGAATTGCATTTGTATGTTTTTAACCTGTTGTAAATTGCCCAGAGCCCTGTGTATTCAGGGATGGGGGCAATCAGGGGTAGGCTTACCAAACAGCCCCGTTGCCAGAGCGACGTGTAGCGTCACATCCTGGCGACGGCGGGTGCAACACATATCGCCGTCCCCGCGGCAGGGATCCTGTAAAGACATGCGGATCCCCTGCCGCCACTTGGTAAGCCTAATCAGGGGTCACTTCCTGCAGAAGCGCACAGGAGCGGAGCTCCGGCAGTAAAGATCCCAGGGGCGGGCACATGCAACAAGCCCCACCCCCTGCTCCCAGCAGCCCTCAGTCAGAGCAAGAAGCAGCCAGATAAGTTGCAGAGGCCTCCCCCCCCCCAGCTCCCCACCCCAAAACACTCCAGTGGCCACTT